AACGCAGCCCGAACGCAGCGAAAGTTCCTCGTGCACTAAAAGTGCTACGGTGTGTCTGCGTGCTTCCAAATCCGTACGGAGGCGGTACTCATCACGTACGGATACCCAAAGTTTGCCCACGTTTTTGCACGTAGACAGCACGCACTTGCAAGTACGGCGGGATGTGACCACCGCATAATGGAACTGTCTGTCATCAAGACTAAATAATTAATGTAGCCCTTACAATAAATAAATACATTAATAATTCACATGTAATTGATTAAACGTAAGAATAGTATATGTCTATGTGATTTGTTGGTAGAAAGGGGCTCTTAAGTTCATAACAAGACCTTTTTCTATTATTTGTCCTAAAGTGCTCGAATACCACGCACAGAATACTCCTATATTCTTACCGAGAAACAACCTAAAACTGCTTTCACCCATGAGTATGTGTATGTTTATGTCTCAAGAAAAAGGCAATTTTATAATTTACAAATCTAGAATTACCACTGTATTTTTAACGTGTTCTTTTTTCCTCATATGAAATTTATAACATTTTGAAACAGCTTGTGAATGAAACCAAGGCTGTTTAGGCTCCAAGATAACTTTTGTTGGATTCAATTATTGTTTGTTTGTTTTTTGTTGTTTGTTGTTAGTTTATTTCGTTTTCTTTCTTTCTTTCTTTCTATACCCTTCTTTGTTCTTTCATCCTTCATAATCAGTCTTTCCTTGCATTTAGTGGAAGGCATTAGTATGGGTTTCACTTTATTTTCCTTGAATCTATGACAAATTTGGAGCTATGTTTCAATTTCATTTCACTAGTTATATGACATCCATATCGTGCTAATCACGGTGCCTTCCCACACTTTCTTTGCGATGCGAGATATTAAATTTAATAAAGATATATGTACCGGGTGAACGGAGCACGTGGTCCTCCTCCCCCCCCCCCCCCCCCCCCATCGAGTGATGACCAAAAAAAAGTGGAAAAGCCACATAAAAGGGAAAGGGAGGCAGGAATGCGCCTGGATCACTCCCCCCCCCCCACCCCCACCACCACCACTAATAGCCTTGTAAATTCGTCTCATTTTCAGACTAAGTCCTGTGCCCCCCCCCCCCCCCCCCAAAAAAAAAAAAAAAAAAAAAAAAGTTCCAGTGCCCCCTTGACGGATGTACTCGAGCTACACAACTGATGACGTCATCACCGACTGAGTTCAAACGTATTATTTCGTTTGTCGTGTGGTTAAGCTGTACGGGTCGATTTAACATTCAACATTTAACAGTTAACCTTCTCTCTTTTCCTAAAGTTTTGAGCCTGCTCAAAATCTTTCTCCCAAAAATTGAGATCATATTCAATTTCTGACATACCATTGGCCATTTCTATGACAACGAGAATCTGTTGATCAAACAATCAAAGTACATGTATATACAAAAAAAAAAGATTTCTCTCTCGTGTGCGTTATTATTATTATACTATTGCAAGTCACGCAGACGACACAATATCCATTTATCCCCAAGCAGTTTCCCGCCAATCCCTGATATTAATTTCCGGTAGACAAAGCCATGCGGTATAATCAATATAAGAGGTATAAGATTCAATTATGATATAGTTCGGTATATCTTAAAGGTGTGATTTAATGTTTTGAACGTGTATCGAGTAGAAATAAAATGCTGATAAACTTTGTGTAGATCTGTTATTTTGAGATTCCTACAAATATTAGGAAATGATGGAGCATTGTTGGATACATTTTTCGTTTTTCGTTTGTTGTTATTTCATTTTTTTTTTCCGAATAAAAGTAGACTGAAATTACTAATCATAAAATATTTCTTCCCTGGCATATGCATTTTATTTCGCCTTTTTGGATCTTTTATTTGTTTTTAATTTGTTTTTAATTGCTTTTCTTTCCTTTTCTTTTCTTGTTTCCTTTTTTCCTTTCTTTTCTTTTTTTTCTTTCCTTTCTGGTCTTTTCCTTCATTTTGTTTTATTTTCTCTTTCTTTTTTCATCTTCTTTTCTTTCTTTCCTTTTTCCCTTTTTTTCCTTTTCTTTTTTCCTATTTTTTTGTTTTTGTTTTGTTTTGTTTCTTTTCTTTTTCTTTCCTTTTGTTGTAGTTGTTGAACAGTTTGGTTTGATTTTATGCCACATCACGCTTATCCCCCTCCATGAAGAGGATGCAAACACGATTGCCAAGACTTAAATCAAAAATCATCCAAAGGTAATTTAAAGTGGCCTTGTCTTGTGCATCACCTATGAGATGTACGAACATTACAATGACATCATCTCAATATGATTTCTAAAGGCGATACAATAGGGAATTGAAATTGCCCATAAATAAGTATGTTGATCTTATCAAAAGTATCTGCGATCGCGTGCGTATCTTCAATGCACCAGGGGACCTCAAAGATATAATGATAAGAGGATTTTATTTCTTCTTCATTGAATGACTTCACGTTCGGCCGATCATATGGCGTGAACGCCGGTATGGTTACATGAATTATCACGCAGACAAATATTAAGAAATGGAAGAGCATATAGCAAATAACATTTGAAAACTGAAATCTTTTGACATTTAACACTAGAGATTGCTACTGTCATTCCTCGTTTCTGCCTCTCTCTCTCTCTCTCTCTCTCTCTCTCTCTCTATCCCTCTCATCTCTCGTTCTCTTTCTGTCCTCCTCTCTGTGTTTTACTCTCGATGTCACACACAATCCATCTCAATTGTTACCTTCTCACATCACACCCTGTGAGAACCAGAAGAATATTAATTCGTATAATCTATATTGAATTTACTCCGTGGCAGACAGAAGGCCAGTGTTTTCTATATCATGTTAAATTGAATAATAAAAGAATCAAAAGACGGAAGTATGAAAATGTATGTAGAGAAAAAATATTTATTTCTGCGTCTTACCCGCGCTACTCGTAAAAGCAATCATTTTCTTATTACAAAAAAAATAACGTTGTTCAATGAAATAGAAACAATCGTTTTAGTCTAATGTTTTCAACGACCATTACCTTTCGATTTTTTTCAGATGATAAATCGTTTAAAACATGGACAACGGACTATTGAAAGAAAAAATGGTATGCAGACGTGCAATAGCGTAAAAAAAATAATAATAATAAAAAAAAATCTTATTTTGACAAAAATTACATATCCTTCCTACTATTTTTCGATGTGTTTCGAATTATGGGCGTAATATTTTTTGCAAAGAGGAGCATTATAAAAGCATCTTTTCATAATAGTCATAATATTCACAGGGAGAAGCAAATCTTGTATAATTTACAGTTCTCAATCTTTATACCAACGAATATCTAAATTCCTGTTTTTACTTCAATTAAATGATTGTCATAAAGTAGTTGGGCTCATGGCTACTTTATCATCTAAATAATTATGATCGGAATCTTTCTAAATGCACCTTGATTATTACATAAAGAACATTTCTGTCACAGATGTACGTCGAATTCAATTCCTCTCTTCATGAAATCATTTTTAAGTTGACAAAAATCAACTCTATCTTTCTCTTCTTGCCGTCTAAATCACATAAATCCCGCTTCTTAGCATCAATTAGGATTATTGTTGTTATGTTAATTCATATAAATACAATATTCTTTATTGTCAAATATATATGTCATATTATTATGATATACTTACTGTACATACACAGTGATCGGAGGTACTGCTTGGTTGGTTTGTTGGTTTTACCTTACTGCTAAGAAAGCATGTGTGTGCTCGTAAAAAAGCAACTAGGGGACCAAGGGCTTTAAGTCCTCTTCGAGGGACTTGGTAAAGAGGATTAATGCCTTACCAAAGGACACTAGCGCGTCGACTTGTTTTTGAACCCGTGACTTCCCGGTAACGAGACCACTGCTCTACCGCTGAGTCATTATATCTCACATGAACGATATTCCAAAAGGCCTCTTACATTTTGTGTCTTATTCTTTAGGTAAGATTGCGCAAAAGGTTCTTTCATGTTCCATAATCCATAACTATTTTGTCGTTGTCAAAATTTGAGAGGAAATTTGGCACTCTTCCCCCACCCTAACAAAAAAATAATAATAAAGTAATGGATCTGCCTCTGTAAGACGACTTGGATTTAATTATTTTCACGAATGAAAACCTTAACTCTTGTTTTCTTAACATTAAAAATAAATTTAAAGATATGAGCGTTTGGAGAACTATAATGGTAAGCTGCAATATATCCCATTTAAATCATTGATTTAAATTTGAAGAAAAGAAATCACCTTCAATTCGATTACTTTTCCCCAACTTGAAACTATTTTCGGCAGCTGCCTGGCTACAGTGGTGTTGAAACCCAAATGCCTATACACGCATTGGCTAGTAGTATATACAGTTGGAATTAATCATATTAAAGATCTAATTTCGGAGCCAGCATAGACGCAATAACTAAGCGCCTTGAAGCTGAAAGCGTTGTCCAAGGGAAAGTAAAGCATATTTCTCGCAGCTAAACCGGCGCGGCGCTCAGTTCGTGTCAATTCTACCGCGACTGGATATTTTCATATTTGAAAGCCACCTATATGCAAAGACAATATTAGACCCTCGACGACTTCATATGAAATAAATATTGAGCTATGCAGTGTACAATGCAGACATTCAATAAACGTATTGATGGTCATTATTGCTCAGACTTATTTCATTCCAGCAGTTCTCCCTGCATTGACGTGACACATACACATACATGTAATGACGAAACAAAATTGAACAAGTTCCAGTGTTGAAATTTCATTTCCATTATCTCTCCCTGGTTAAAAAAAATCATAGATCTATCAAAAACATAGTCTCTATTGTCCTTCGATACATAAAATGTGACGGGATTATTCAAATGGTTCAAAGAAGAGTTCGTTAATCTGCCGCACATCGTCTCACCATCGCACGTCTTGGCGCACAGCGAACATTACTTTCAACGTAACTCTGTGTGCCATATATTATGTATGTATATATATATATATATATATATATATATATATATATATATATATATATATATATCTTTATCATGATGGTATACCCTGAGCGAACGACTAAATGAAAAGGTTCAAATAATTGAACTCTTTAATATTTTTGTTTGTGTTTCAAAATACATTACAGAGGTGTGATCCCGTCCAATACACCTTGTCGCATCACAACCATGTTTTAGAGCACTGCAAAAAGAACTGCTCTCAATCGGTACTCTATGTGCATAATATACTGCTGTAACACGAGCAACATTCAGTGACGCATTCAGTGACGCATTCAGTGACGCATTCAGCAAGCAATTTTAGTGTACGAAGCGACCACCGGTCACCGCCACAATAAAGAACACCAACGACCACCCACTGTTTTGTAAGTGATATCACCTTCGCTCCGACGATATTTGCCATCCGGACTTAACTTCCTCAAAATCACAGAAATAGTTATAGACGAGTCTAGGATTGAAGTTATGCTCGTTACATGATGCGCCATTCCGACTGCGTCATTTCTTGCGCTAATCAGGCCTGTAAAGGCAGCGGACTCATGCGTCAGTTTTCAATGCAATGCATACATTGTTCATTTTGCAATCTCTTTTGCACACTGTCACCATCACATAACGCGTTAAAGAACGCACCTGTCACTGACGGAGTCCTGCGTCAGGCAAATGACGCATCCTGTGCAACGGGCTTTAGCAATTCGTCTCGTGTAAGAAATAGATCGTGGGACGAAATTATCGTGAGAGCATTTGTCGTACGGTGATTCTATAAGAGATGTTTCTCGTTTAAATCTGGCGACCTCGGTGAGCTCGAAGAGCATGTCGTGTACACGGTCTTCATTGTTGGGCCTACGTCGGCTACGTCGTTTTCGATGACGGGCAGGTCGATGCAGGTCTTTCCGATGTCGCTCTTAGGTTTGTCGATGTCGACTTTGCGATTGAAATAACGTTGGCAGCCAAGAAGCTGAGGTGAGAGGGGAAAAGTCAAGAAATTGGTTTGAATGATGAGACCCAACATCTATATAGGTCATTATAGGACAAGCCTATCCTTGCTTTCTTGAATTATATTCGCAGAACTACCAGAATATAATATTTCCTAAATAAGTTTAAGGAATTTACTGAACTTTTCAATAATGTCATTTCAAAGTCATTTGAAACATTAAAAATGTACAGTAACTAATGAAAATTTCATGATAACATAATATAATATGTTGTAAATTTAGCAACAACCTAAAATGCGTCCAAACGCCGCGAAATTATGGTAATACTGTAATAATCCGGATTGAAAGTAATTGATGTTATGAATAAATTCTCAGGCCCAGTCTATTTTTTCTTCTTCACCTTCTGCTACAGTACGGTAGCAACATTAACTAAATCAATAAAATTTCAAAACTAGCAATCCTTTCATGCAAGGTTCTATAATACTACAGATCAGGTAATACTACAGATCTTCAAAGGAATATTTTGTAAATTTAAAACTGATTGGATTTTTGACATTCCGTTTATCTTACCGTGACAAGTCCGCGCTGGAATCTACGGCTCATGAAGGCGTACACGACAAAATTGAGCGCGCTTCCCGCGTAGGCGATGAGGCAGGCTGTGACCTCCATGGCCGCCTTCTCGCCCTCCGTCATCGGCATCGTGTACTTGAGAAGACGACTGATGAGGGAAGGCACCCAGGAGATGACGAAGATGACGAGGACGATAATCACCATGCGAAGAGTCTTGTCTGTACGAGCTGAAGAATGGGGACAACATTAAAAAAAACAAACATTTTATTTGAATGATAACTGTATATTATGTGTGCAGATCTGTAGAGACGGGGGCCGCGAGGTGGGGGGGGGGGGGGGGGGGTCGTGCTCTCATCAATATTCCGAAAAGGGAAAAGAGAGCAAAAGTGAGGAGGGAAGAAAACGTGACAAAAGGACGCTACGACCCCCCCCCCCCCCCGACTGATGGTCTCGTTAATTTGCATTTCATCATGCCACCAAGTAAGACCACGGCCCTATCTTACAAAGAGTTGATATCAATCATGATCGCAACTTATTTGCGATTGATATTAATCGCAACTATGTTCATAAGAGATAGGAGACTGGAAACTTGCGATTGATAGGAGGACTTGCGATTGATTTGGATCAATCATAACTCTTTGTAAGACAGGGCCCATGCAGTGCACTCGTCACCTACCCCCATGATACCGTGCCCCCTCAATACCTTGACACGCTGTACGATCATGTACATGACTTTATATATGGTAATCATGAATATCATGGTTATAGTTATAATCATATAACTGTAAATCATACATTGAATGAAAATTACACACTGTCTTTTGCCTTACTCATTTTTTCATTTTTCTTCTCTATCATCAGGACTTAAATTAATGTGTGCAAAGAAATTAACTAATCATTCTGCGCTATTTTGATATATCAAGGCTATATTCAGTGAACGGTACATACAGAGATAAGAACAGAACAATATTATCTATACGTAGAGACAGAGACTGCACACAAAAACATGAAAAAGATGTGAGAAAGGGAGAGTGGGGTAGCTAAAGAGGAGTACGAAGCAAGGACCTACCCGGGGTTTTCGTGCTTTTCTTCAGCCCCGCCTCGCTGGCTCTCCTCACCCTCGACGCAGACTGTCTCGCTACTCGCACGATGCGGTAATAGCAGGCGACCATGAAGACCAAGGGGACGATGAAGAAAACGGCCAGGACGCCGAACTCGTAATTCTGCGGGATGAAATAGATGGTGACCGCCGCTGCGCTCGATATCAACCAAATGACGACCAGGACCTGACAGAAATACAAAATGGTGGAGAAGGAGAAACTGTGAATTATCGAGGTATATAAAGACATCCATTTTGAAAAATGAATCTGAATTTAAAGGCATCGTTTAACAATATTAAATTTGGAATGCACGGTAATGCGCGTTATCAGTGCCTGTAATATGGTGTTATATTGAAGCCCTAAAAAAATTGTGCTTCAAAATGATCAAGAAGAGCCTCAAAAAGTGAAAAACCTTTGAGTGACCGGTTTTTACCTTACTCGTTTTCCACAATAGACTGTAGTGTTATGAAAACCGTTAGGAAAACGCAAAATTTGATTTCGATTTCCAATCATAAATATCTTGACAATCAGACACGCAATCGGCTTGTAAAAATAATGGGGTTCCTGACTGACCTAAAGGTTTATAATTATCATTGCAGCATGAGCTAAATCTAGGATTTTGTTTCAGAATCTGAGAAAAAGTTACCCCTTTAAGGCTGCAGAGAAGGATACAATCTACAGGTCTTTGATATAGGAGGCCCCTCTAGTTTTAATCATATCTTACCTGTTTCGAGCGCTGGATGTTCAGCCTTCTCGACATGGGGTGAATGACGGCGTCATGGCGGTCAAGGGCGATGGCGGATAGACTTAGGATTGAAGCCACGGAGGAGAAATAGAACATGACCTGTTCCACCTGCAGAATAAAAAAATACAGTTCATGTATTTATAATTATTCTAATTGCATCTATAGAATGATCAGGACATTTATTTTCATAACTCGTCATTTCATTGGCGGGTTCTTCATGAATAAAATGACTGTGACAATGTCGATGCTTTGATTAGCAGTTTAAATAAGACAGTCGTAACGAAATACTTTTAAAAAAAATCAACTTTGTATGAAAGAGTACATTTTGCACCACCTATTGAAATATACGACATGAAAATGACATTATTACATAAAGCCAATAATAATTTCTATATTTATGAAATACAATATAGGGGCATTGAAATTACCCTTAAGTCGATTTATTTTATGTCTTCGAGATATTATCAAGGATTTCAATATCATTGCTGCTTTCACTTTTTTTTACCAAACTCTACATCATTATGTCCTGAAAGCAACTATTTTAACTACATTGCCTCTCTCTCTACCCCGGTGCAGGTATACCAAGTAGGATGCGAGCGTCATTGTGCTTTGTTCAGCATTGTATGAACCTATATTATGTTGACTAGCCGAAATGATTTTAAAAATCCCCAGGGAGTGAAGAATGTGCACATACTTTGTGCTGGCAATCAGATAAGGGGTTAATGATTTTTCAGCAAAGCGCAAAGAAACATCGTAGATAATTTATAGTGATATGTATTTACATAAGATAGCTATCTATATTAATTAGAAAAAAAAGTAAAATTATTCATTGGTAAATTGTTTTAATCTCTTACGATATATGAGACACCGGTATGTTTCTGGTGCACAGTGATTCCAATGATGATTAATGGCGTGCATATGACGCACACAAATAGATCAGCGACGGCCAGAGAGAGAAGAAAGAGCTCGGTGACGGTCCGATCTGTGAAGAGAGAAAACGGATATATAAAACAATCATGATAGTGATTTGTTTACATTACATGGGCATGATATAAAAAAATATCAGGTGTAGTAATAGGGGAGGGGGGGAGAGAGAGAGAGAGAGAGAGAGGGACGTGTATATATCAGTAGAAGTAGTAGTAGTAGTAGTAGTAGTAGTGGTAGTAGTGGTAGAAAATAGCAGTAGGCCTTGTAGTAGTAGTAGTAGTAGTAGTAGTAGTAGTAGTAGTAGTAGTATTAGTAGTAGTAGTATTATCAGTAGTAGTAGTAGTAGTAGTAGTAGTAGTAGTAGTAGTAGTAGTAGGAGTAGTACGTATGGAAACGTTGTATCATCCGCTCAATCTGACTTGCGTGCATAGAACAAATAAGCATTTTTCCATGAAAAAGTGAAGTTTTCTAAAATGTGCGTTACTTCCAAGCATTGGGGCGCCCGGAATTCACTCGGGTAACATTTCATAAAGTAAAATATAAAAAGACCATATGCCAATTTTCTGTACTTTTGTCGGAAAAAATACATTTATCCAGCACAATGTCGTCCCTTTTTGCGTTGGAGAAGAGCAAATAGCGAGTTTCAATCACACTTTGGCCGCTCTCGCAAGCTCTCACTCCTTTCACTGTGGTCAAGCGACTTTGGGGCAAGCGGTTAATGAAAATACTAATCGTTAGCTTTCTTCTGGTATTAAACTTGTTTTGATTGATTATATAATTTTGTCGGAATAAAGGAAACAAAAAGGCTCGACCAATAACTTATCAGTGTCTGAATTGACCTTTTGACCTTGAATTTCCTTGATGCAAGCGCACTAATGACGTCATCTTCGCTAAATCGGCGTCTTTTATCGTAAAATGCGACACTTTCACAATGTTTATACATCTTTTTTAACTACTAGTAAGATTTAACATATTTTTTCTGATATCACTGAAGTTTTGGGTGTTATTTAATGAGTAATTTTAAAATAAGAGCCATTTTACTGTTTTATTTTACTGGATCATATCATTCAAGTCGCAGGGTAGAAAGATGTATTTTCCAACCGCGCCAAATTTAATTTACGTTTCGACATTCTGTTAAATGGGTTCGTGATGTTAAGAATCCACTGCTTTCCGCTCCAACAAACGTCCACATGCGGAGTCGTTTATCAACCAAATTATTCAAATGTATGGAAGCTTCCTAGCTTCCCAGGTGTTTGTGTTGCTGTTGACGCATTTCATTCACCTACTATCATTCTTTGTATTCCAATTGCCAGAACGCAAATTTCATTTTGGTTTTATAGTTTCATCGAAGTCGTTTATTAACTATATGTATTCAAATATATGAATGCTTCCTCCCCAGGTGTTTGTGGTGTTTATGCATTTCATTCACCTCTTATTATTCTTTGTACTCCAATTGTTAGAATACAAAATGCATTTTGGTTTTATAGTTTCATGCAATAAGTAAGTCAATAACAGAGTATGTTCTGCACAATAAAAACAATGTATGTCCCTACTGTACAATGTAAAAGGTCCCCTCATTTTGTAATAGTTAATTTACCCTTTCACATAATGGAACTACCTGCCCGATGAAGCCCGTGGCCTGTGACCCCTGAGCACTCAACACCGTGTGGGAGTCAGTTTATTATCAACTTCTTTTATGAGACAAATACAAGCAAACGTTTCCATATGTAGTAGTAGTAGTAGTCACCACGAGGAGGAGGAGAAGGATAACGAAATGGGAGAGAAAATGACCAACAATGAAAATATTAAATTATATCGTGAAATAAAATTTTAAAAATATTAATTCAAAGTTGTCGAGAAAAAAACACGGTTATGAATATTTCATTCGGAGCATACGAACACGATTATGATTTTTTTTTTAAACGCCTAAAGATATTAGACTTGTCATTTTTAATTACAGATTATATCATTCTCTTACACAGATGAAAGTGCAGGTGACCTCATTATATCATCATATTTCACAATAAATGAAACCAAGGATGAAAGGTAAACGATTTGATTAGGAAATAGCTGTAATCATCTCTTTAGCGATAGACACGAAAAGTGTCAATTTAGCCACATTAGTGATTTCAATTAGATTTCGTCTATTTCTAGATTCTACTCTTAGAAAAAAAAAATGGTAAAAAAGGGTAAAATTTCGCTATGGTTCTAAAAAGAACTTTGCGCTTCCTTTTAACCTTTGTTCTACATGCCAATTTATATAATATTAAGGTTCTTTAAACAATGAAAAAAGGGGTCTTCAAGTGGCACAATGGTTTTATTTAGAAATCCCAGTATTTATTTATTGATTTATTGATTTATTGATTTATTGATTTTTTATTTTTTATTTTTATTTATTTATTTATTTATTTATTTATTTATTTATTTATTTATTTATTTATTTTTTATTTTTTATTATTATTTATTTATTTATTTATTTATTTATTTTTTTTTTTTTTTGGGGGGGGGGAGGTTTGTTTGAACAAAAATGGAGTTGATGGAATTTAAACACGTATCTTCATGCTTGGGGAGAAGGAGGAGGGAGGGGGTTTGTCATTCCTCCGTTCCGTCTTCGTTTTATCAGAAGAAATGCGAATAACACTTTAGAGTCTTTTAATGATTCTGTGCCTCGCATTCATATTGCCGGAAAGCTGATAAAGAATTCTTTCAAGATCTTACCATTTGCGAGCCCTCTTGGGGTTCTACATATGGGCCAAGGTTTGGAGCCATTACAGATTTTAATTTGCTGTATTTTTTACAAGATTATATATCATTAACTCATAATAATGCGCTTTGGTGGCTTCAGCGGCTTTGCTCTATATAGCATTGATTCGTCCATGGAAAATATAATGAAATTTACACTGGTGCCCATACCCATACCATACCTGGTACCGCTTTTCATGAAGTCATCGTGAGAATTATGGGTTATTTTTTATAGCCAAGGTTGATATGTTCTCAAAAAAGTATTGGTTCATCTAAAGAGTCATAGAGATTGATCAATAAAGTTCATAGAAGATATACAAGTTATCAATAAAGAATAAATCATATTGTCACAATCAGTTCTTGAAAAGGGGTTAGAAAAAAATGATTTCCAACCGAATGGGCAACAGCGTTCTCCATGTATTAAGATAATGTTTAAAGATCATGGGTAGAACCGTTTTTTTTGTTGTTGTTAATTTAAATAGTTTGATCCAGAGACAATATCTGTAATATTATTATTCATCATGGCCTCTTTATTTTATATAGCTAATGTTTTGTCTACTCTCGATGGAGCGGGCAATATTCCCCGATATACAGTTTCTTCCAGGAAGAAAAAAGTCACATTTATATAGCGCTTAATATTAAGTTTCTATGTAAGTGCTTTACATTGTTATTACCCAGGTCATTGGATTCAATTGCTAATCCGCACGTGATGCTACACACGCTCCACTCCCTGTGGAGTATTCCGGCCAGGAGCCATTTTACAAGCGCGCATGTGCCAATTCAACCACATTAATATTCGCATCTTACCGGGTACCGGCCCATTTTACACATTGTACACCTGGGTGGAAAGTGACAAATGTAGATTAATGTCTTTCCAAAGGGGATTATAGCGCCGCGGCGGGACTCGAACCGCAAACCATGTGATCCCCTGATATCCCCTGATTTCCCCCAGTAACACCGTGTACAACGACCGCCATCCATTGTCTGCGCGTAACTATGGTAACTATCCGTGATTGTTGCGGAGTGTTACCGACCTTTTTTTAATCTAGTACTAATCATGACGATTATTCGAACTAATACAGCAATCGAAAGTATTACCATTGACTATTAATCTACAAAACAGGAAAAACAAAACACCTGCCAACGTTTTCATGGAATAATAGAACAATGACCCATCGTGGTTTTGCTAAACCATCAAATTGCGTATGTATAGTTTTTTTTTTTTTTTTTTTTTTTTATTGGTTTACGTTTTTGTTGTTGAGATTAACTGGATATATTTTATTAGAGGAAATTCAAAATGAATGATGTTAGAGAGGGTTGTCGGAGGGGGGGGGGGGAGGGGTTATAGAGAATTAAGCGAATGTGTAAAGATTTATGTACTGACTGAACAGATTTATAAATAATGAATAATAATGATGTTTGTTTGTTTGTTGTTTGATCGATTTTATTTCTGCGTTCAAATAGCAAATACAGGGTTATACATTTTAACATAAGTATTACACACATGGCAAATCATGGCTAATAATGTAATACAATAACCATAATACAATATTTGTATATATTTTTCATTGAACAAAAGAGATACATTTTAGAATGCAGGAGACCGCTATCGTGAGCGGTTAGTCTGGAAATGGATGGCGGCCTCATGAAAAAAAGAAAGAAAAAAATTAATTTAATTAGCAACAAAACTCTCTTGGTAAAACCTAGTGATCAAGTGGCTGCAGTTCAATTGTCGGTGCGGGTGCAGCAGACGGCGGTTGAGTAAAATGAATAATAAATAATGGTTTCAAAGAAAGCTATTATACTAACTTAGGGCGTTTGGCACATAATTAGGGTTGTATTATTTTTCCTTATGAGAAATTCGCGGTATAAGAAATAATAATAATAACGATAATAATAATAACAATAATAATAATAATAATAATAATAATAACAATAATAATAATAATAATAATAATAATAATAATAACAATGATAATAATAATAATAATAATAATAGGTGTAGCTTTCATGGAATAGAGGGTTGAACAAAATTTGATGTTGTCGGGAAAATTATTTCAAATATCCGGACCACAATGTCTAATGGGTTTGTGCGTTATTAATAATTTTAGGATGTAATTTCTAGATATGCGAGTGAGATAGGAATGAACAGAACTATTGGTGTGACAATCATTTGGCAATACATTTCAATTTTCGGTAGAACGAACAGGGTACCAGGTACATTGAGCAATAAATATTAATGAAAACGTTCTTAAATTTCAAACTTGGCATTAACCTGTAGTCATTCAAATGTTCAGATAAAGAAACTACACCCCAGTAGAAACTGATACATACGCAAATCCATTATTCACGATTGAAAAGGTCTTTATTTATTTATTTATTAAATTGTAACATAACAGGAGTTCAAGTGCGAGTTGAGTTACACCCACTTTATATTTCACTGAAGAAAAACAAATTATTGACAAAACCATTATTTTCTTCTTTCCTAATTTATTTCGCTATTTATGATCGGTACAGTAATGGGTAACATCGTAATGAATACAGTGAATGAAACCATAGTAATTAAATAATGATTTATTCCACATCGTTGGAGAATAAACACAATTACCCGCGTTGCGAAGTTCAAAATCGATTCGGTAATATGGTCGAGCCTCTTTTTAGAATCCCCAAATGTACGCAGGCATTTCTAAAAGCCATCTTAAATTTGGGTTGAATACTGATTAATCGAATGAATCGATCAATATTGATTTTCGAGAACTATAAGTTAAGGGTCAGCGGGTAAACGGGACTTTACTTTGGCCGGAATTTAAACAGGAAATTGTTATCCCGATTTTTGTTGTGTCTTGGCCGTTTATGTGTGTCGTATTAATTGGCTTAGCAGACGGAAAAGACTATGTAATTGGATTGTTAGTGCCTTAACAATATTCACTGTATCCTAAAATGGATATTTAACTTCTTTTTGCTTTCCATAGATCTAGGCAATGTCAAGGTGGATTTATTTCATAGAGATGGTTGGGAAGGGGGCGATGGCGCCCGCCTCTATGATTTGTTAAACACGCCCCAATTGATTATTATCTCTCTCTCTCTCTCTCTCTCTCTCTCTCCCTTCCTCCCCTCATCCCCTCACTCTCTCTCTCTCTCTCTCTCTCTCTCTCCCTCCCCTTCTCCCACTCTCCCCCTCTCTGTCTTTTGTTGAAGATTTCTGATACCCGAGCCCATCTCAAAGTCGCTCTTGTATACTCTTCAAAGACATGACTGTGCACTGACTGCATCATTTTATTGGTTACTAAATAAAAATTCTTTTCATTTTCATTTTCGTATTCTTGGACATATTTCCGCGAGTGGCTTCCGGAATACCCCTGTATTAAGAATGGTCATTAGTTATTTCACTTGGTTCAGATTATAATGAACTGACAAATAAATGTGCAAATATTTATATTGCCATTATGACTGTTGATAAACAAATGATATCTAAAATCTTAAATGTCATTTTCGTATTCATTGCATATTTCCGCTAGTGAAAACCCCTGCAATAAGATGGTCATTGGTTCACCATTATTTGGTTCAGAATGAAATGAATTGACAAATAAATGTGCAAATTCATTTACGTATTCATTGCATATTTCCGCTAGTAAAAACACGGGAATACCCCTGCAATAAGATGGTCATTTAGTTCATTTCATTTTGTTAAGAATAAAATGAATTTACAAAAAAATATGAAATGTCTACATTGCCATTATGACTGTTGATAAATAATGCAAAAAGAGATGAGGCTTATGTAACTCAACTCGCACTTGAACTCCTGTTGAGTTAGAATTTAATAAATAAATAAATAAAGACCTTTTCAATCGTGAATAATGGATTTGCGTATGTATCAGTTTCTGCTGGAGTGTCGTCTCTTTATCTGAACATTTGAATGACTACAGGTTAATGCCAAGTTTGAAATGTAAGAACGTTTTCATTAATATTTATTGCTCAATGTACCTGGTACCCTGTTCGTTCTACCGAAAATTGAAATGTATTACCACATGATTGTCACACCAATAGTTCTGTTCATTCCCATCTCACTCGCATATCTAGAAATTCCATCCTAACATTATTAATAACGCTCAAATTCACATTGTGGTCCGGATATTTGGAATAATTTTCCCGACAACATCAATTTTTTTCCAACCCTCTATTCCATGAAAGCTACACTTATTATTATTATCATCATAAATACCGCGTTTTTATTATTACCGTTATTAGATACAATACGTATTCTAATTCCACTGTGTTTTTTTATATACAGTACATTTAGCCATGTCATATATTATGAATGATCTCGATTAAATTTGGTCGTCAACCAAAATCATAAAATCCTAAAAATCGTTTATAACCTTCAACAATACTATAGAGCATTGGTTGAAATGTTTTTGAAGGTGTCGAGAAGAAAGGGAGCATTTCGAGTACTTGGTGACGAAAGACGAAGACTCGTCCAATCCAGGCCTTATCTATACCATCGATCAATTCATGGCTGTCACCATAGCAACAGCGGAAGTCTTCACATTTTAAGTGGAGCAAAGATGAAAACATGTCCTCAAAATATCTAAGCGGTAGAAAGGTGTGCAAAAAGAATAATGTTCGGAGGTCAAGCGATTGTATAAACCAATGGTTGAGTGCCGTCTGACATTTTAATGTCTTCTCGAGATCGTGTGACATTTCTGTTCCATTAAACATTATTGCAAAAGCCAAAACAAGCTCATCTTTTATCGATTGCTTCTGAATTCATGGTTATCTCTATTGTGACCGCCAGCATTTTGACGGTTTGTCATATTGCAAATAAAGCTGAACACACATCATATGTATGTACATGTATATCACATAATTTATGCAGGAGGAGAACATAGACAAACATTGAGAATCAGATTGTTGTGATTTGTGTTTGTGGTATATTCTTATTTCTTTTTAGATATTGGAGAATTTTTACAAAAATTTCATCGAAAATATATATTTTTTATCAAGCATCATGTTTTCAACGTTAATTGCTCAAAATTTAAGATGTAAATGTAAATGAAATTGGATTGTGAAGAAAAAACTAATCTTACAATAATGCATTTCCCATACCCATATGATTTCATGGAATTTATTCAGCCCTGGCAAGGGACTCCAAATTCATTTATCAAATCTGGAAAGACAAGATTGGAGAGACATCTTTCTCAAAAGAGGGGGCATCTAATTATGAGCGGGGCCAATGTGCGATATTCTGGGTTACGTTTGCACCCATCTTGATTATATTTGGCGCTATCAGACATGGATTGTTATTCGTCACTATTGTCCGTTACGCACAAAGTGGCCTTTTATTAACGCAGTACTGCGTTAGGGACTAACGCAGTCTTTGATGTACCACGTGCGAGCTGCTGTACCGAAAATTTCTAGCGCATGCACTAATTATTAACGCAAGTAATAACGCAATCGAGATGACGCGTCATGACGCCGCGTGTACGTTAGGTACAAATTAAACTTTCATTTTGTAAAGAGAAAAACTCACATACCCACTTTCATCCTCGATATGACGGCGATGACGAGTGCATTTCCGATGGAACCGACCACGAGGATGATGGCGGCAATGAGGGCGAGGATGACCTGGGCGCAAAAGTTCATTGTCGGTTCCGGTTCGGCCACAGGCTCCGAAGAAAACTCAGGAAACGGCTCCCCAAACAATATCCCGGTTATCCATGGCTCCGGCTCCATGGTACCCATGATCATCTCTGGTTCAGGTTCGGGTTCCGATTCGGGTTCCGGCTCGGGTTCGGAGGAAGGCTCAGCAGTCGCATTTAGCGTTGCCATGACGACAGAGTACATGATTGATGTGGTCGACATTTTGATCACTCGTTACGTTCTCTGCTTTCGAGCTAATGGCTAAACTTCTGTAGATAAAAGGGGGACGAAGTAACAAGTATAAATAATTAGGATGGTGTCATTTTTTGTTTTTATTAGAGATAAATGTATTATGATAATAATAATAGCCTAATAGTCCACTCCAAATTTTATTAAACCGAAACGGAAATTCTTTTTGTCCAATTGATCGTGAGCCCGGCAGCCACTGAGCAGCGCCAGATCGACGTTGCTCTATCCCTTATTGTTGAACGCCAAACAAGGTAGCAACAACTCCCATCTTTTAACGTCTTTTGGTATGACGCGGCCGGGGTTCGAACCCACGACCTCCCGGTTGTGAGGCGGACGCTCTACTGACTGAGCCAACACTCACATACTAGACGAACCGTGTATTAGTTTCAGGCCTTTATTAAACAAAGATAATATTTGGCTATATGCTGAATGTAGATTAGGTTACATGTAATACGTATTCAACGTAATCATTGTTTCGATTAATATGATTATTTGAAAAGGAAAATCATCTCGTTAGATTGATGCCGCAGTCACGCCCTCCTTTTATTTTCAGAGCAGGTAGATTCTTATACGATATATATCATATCATATACCGCCCCTTCGATAGGACGGTAAACAGAGGCCCCCGTGAAGAGGAGAGTTGTCAACTTTCCTCTTTAAGAACCCACTGCACTGTTCGTATAAGAGTAAGGGGAAACCCCGGTGTAGTGGTCCACCTGTACACCCCAAACAGTTATACCGGAAGAGAAACCCGAGGGTCATAGTGATTCGGTTCGTTTTCTCCCTTCGAGCACAGGTAACGCCAAGTATCTTATAATATAGTGCACATTAAAACAAGTTTCAGCAGTGAGCAAAATCCGCAGCCTCTCTCAAAAGAAATGTGCATCATTACATAAAGTCAGTACTTATATTGGGCAAATATTGAAACATTTTGGAACAGAAAATCATTACATCATCTCGTCGCAAGAATTTACGAAAAACTTGTGTCACTTCTATCAGAGCAGCGTTTGCTCAGACACTTAAAAGGAGAAATTTCTTCAAATATTAAATCATACTGACCCACAATAATTTTGACGTACAAGTTTCCCTTCATTAGGTTTGTGTTGTAATATTTTTTCTTCTTCTAAAGTTCAACGAAGTATCAAATATTTAAAATAGACTGTGATGACTTTACGGCCAGGGAAGTAGTTTTTACAGCAAACAGTGGGGGGGGGGGGGGGGGAGGGAGTTATTAAACACGCGACGAAATTGATTAATAATGGAGACACATAGACAACAAGTGAATAATGATATTAAATTGTGTTATTCACACAATGATGTCGGTCACTGTACGTGCCGAATTAATCATCTCAACTCGTTTCGAATTACGAAATGTTTATTCAATATCCTTCTTCTCTCCTTCATTTTCTTGCACTTCTTCTTTTACCCATCTATCATTTCCATTAATCTATATTCACATTTGTCTGCCCTGGTTTTTTTTTTTTGGGGGGGGGGGGGCCATATCTTCTCTCAACTGTAGATTTCGAAAAGGCCGATAATAAGTTCGACTTCTATATGTAGGCCTACTAATGGCCTACAAATTCAATTTATATCTGTCATTCATATTCGTCAGTTTATATTCCTTCACTTTTAACTATATAGACCCTTTTTTATCGTTGATATGAAAGGCTTGTAGTTGTTTTCTTTTCCCACTCGGCGATTTGGACTAACTGTATAAAGGCCTTTTTCTTTTATTCTTCTCACGACTACGTCATTACTTCCTCGTTGAATATTTCTTAACTATACTTAACCAAATTGATAAGAAATTTTATATTTCATTGTTCATTCATTATTTCACCACAACGCTTATTTAATAATTTATTCTAAGCAATCGTGCAATCATCTGTGGTAACATATCAATAATGCATTCCACATTTTGTTTTAAACGTAAACTTAATACAATTTAGTCTACTAAATGTCATGTTTAGAAATGAAAGTAAGAAACGAAGTAAGAAAAATCCAGCATTTAAACCAAAATAAAGCTTTTATACTATTTTCCTATTCTATGACATTAAAGCTAAAATGCAAGTTTCGTGACCTATACCTATACGACAAAAAATTACAGCGAACAAAATATCAATAAAATATCAATAAATAGAAGTGAGTCTATATACCATTATACAAAAGAAAATACTCTATCGGTGGACTCGGGACTATATCAGGACAAATCTAATTACCGAAATTGCAGGCCTTTATCTTGAGGTGTGAAATTTGATTCTCTTCTTTATCAAATTATGATTTTTAATCGAATAAATAATGCTCCAGTGTGTTTTCTTATGACGTTTTAAAAAACCGTCTCGTAATATAATTGACAGTACTCTTTGTACTTTTATAACAGATGTTTGAAGTATATAATTTCATTATCTAATGTCGGTTAAAATTCTGACCTTTTCGAGAAAGTTTTCTGGTTTATATATCATGTCCTATACTTTACTGAGTTCCTGTTGCGTTGGTATCGGAATTCTCTTTTCTCGGTTTTTACATTTTCCTATGCTTTTCACTAGATTTTTATCCATTCGTACCTGCATTTCAAAAATAAATAATAACAATAACACGCCATTCTGTGTATACCCTACGGGATATTAAGGTAGTGAAGCCAATATTTTGTTGCCTCTCTTCCTCTTTCATGCATAGTTTTGTTCATCATCATAACTACAGACGCTCCATCTCTTCTTGTGAGACGAGCTTTGCTGTTTTTAAAGGTATAGGCTGGTGGTGGTAAAATTGCGGTTCAAGGGTTTTGGGTGCTAAATATCCATTCAATAATGTTTAAATATTGCCTTCAGAGGTTTAGATGGCAATACTTCAACCTAAATTCTCAAACAAAAATATATGCCAAAATGATCAATGTTGAAGTGCATTCGCGATATCTATCCAGGCCGGATCGATATGCTAACTTACCAATATATCAATACATTTTTTTTTAGTAGGCGGTTTCCCGGCAAAATTTGTATGATCACGTATTAGTCAAAACATATTCTTTCACATGATTGGTAATAAGAGCTTCAATTTATTTTTATGAGAGGATGGCGTTTCCAAAACTGGTCTATACCTTTAAGAGCCAGAACTTCGACGTATTCAGTAAAAGGGTGTTCAGCAATACTGCCTAGGAAGCGGAGCATTTGCACCATCATGTGCGGATTAGCAATTGAATTCAGTAACCGGGGTAATAAGCATAATAATAATATTATTATCATTAGGCTTAATGTAACATTTTGTTTGGTCAGTTGTTTATCTGGTGTCGGTATCTTTAGTGTGATTGGGGTATAAAACAGGTGTGATGACGTAAACATTTTGAGCGCGAACTGAAACTTCTCGGCGGCCAGTCAGAAGAGAGATATAGAGAGATATATATAAATAGAGACAGAGAGGGAGGAGGAGGAGGAGGAGAGAGACACAGAGAGAGAGAGAGAGAGAGAGAGATAAGAAATTGACTGAATAAAGGTCTCACTATCTTAATAATCATGATTCCTTGATTAATGAATGCATGTTGTGATAGCGTGGACTATCGATCCTAGATCGTAAATCCAGCTGCAATTATTGTTTGGAATAACTAGCCATAGCAGTCATGATGACAGCAAAATAATGATGCTTCCACATACATATGCGCCAAATTGCCCGCCCGCGCACGCATGTGTTTTGTCGGTCATTGTGTTAGCAGGGGCGGCGATCCCAGAGGTGGGGGCGGGGGGCACATCCTCCCCTCAATTTTGTTAGGGGAGATCGCCCCCCCCCAAAAAAAAAAAAAAAAACACACAAAAAAAACAACAACAACAAAAAAACAAAACAAGAACAAAAAAACAAAACAAAAAAAAAACAAAAAAAAAACGGAAAAAACGGAAAAAGTGAAGAACAAAAAAGAATAGAAACTACTGACTAAAGACTGCAACACACTTTTAGGCTCTGGAGAACCCAAGGGTGCAGCGTTTAGACTGATAAAAATGCAAAAAAATAAAATCTCGCTCGGTCGCTACGCTCCCTCGCATAATATCCTTCAAAATGTACAGGAAAATATTGTAGAAAATCTCGCATTTCGTTCCCCCACCCCGGTAATGAAAGAAATCGCCGCCCCCTGTGTGTTATTGCCTGCTCTTCTCTCTTTGGTGTTTCTCGCGAGCAAATTAAGGTTAGGTAGAAAAGAAAAAATGATTGATCGCGAAGATCTAAACTTAAGAAACACTATATAATTGTTCGGTAAAATCATTATCTAATTGCTTTTAGGGACGGCTACTACGTGGAAAACGTGAGGTGTGAAGGAGACACGGCATCATCGCTGGGTATAACTAATAATTTTTGTAAGGACTAGTATTAATTCGAGCATTTTTATCAAAAGCTCATGCTGTATCGACCTTCAGACTGTGTGCTAATGAATTTAAAATGTCCTTCTCTTCCAAATGTTATTGTTCATTAATGTCATCATCTCATGAGCATTTCAGAAAGGACACGACAAGGTCGGGTGCTTTCCCTAACAAAACCAGCATTCCATCTGTTACATTGGTAACTGAGTTGATTTTTTTTCTTTTTTTTTCCTTCTTTTTTTTCCTTCTTTTTTTTCTGTACAATGTTCTGCCTGCGGTGTGTTGGTGTGTCTGTATGCATGTGAATGAATGAGGGTGGGTGTATGTTTGTTTTGATAAGTTTTACAATATTTGTTATAATAATTTGCTTGTATGATTACTTTTGTACAGGGCCCCATTCTCACAAGCTTTGCTTTTCTTGGGGTCCTTCCGATTTTGCTGTTAATTTGATATGTATTTTATTTTGAATTTTAATGGAAAATAAATGAAATGAAATGAAAAAATGGTGAACATAGAGCCTACATCAAGAATATTATGAATTGCATAATATCATAACATCACGACTCCAATTTCGACCAATCAGATGGCTAGATCCATAAAGAGAGGTATATAACATAACATAACACCACCTTACAAAACTAAAATCGAATTCGCCAGAAGTAAGTGAAAACTGACCAGAGTGT